TGTGTGGACCAGATATTTACCAAAAGAACATTACTGCAGAATTTGCTATTTGGATAAAATACGAGAACGGCGGAAACTTGTGTGAGGTTGTAATTAAAGATAGGGAAGTAATTAATCGTAGGATTGCCTAGAGGCAAAAGTCTTCCAACCAAAGTGTCTTTCGGAGCTCTTGGTTAAAGTTTTAATGCTGGCTTTTTGCGCAGTTAATGCACGTTTAAAGTGTAATAGGGGCCTAGTAGGAAATAGATTAAATCCGCTGGTACTTTTCTGCTGATGTAAAAGCGTAGGTAAAAAGGTTGTGGAAGGAACACAAAAGACCAGAGAGACTGAAAGAGCAACTCGTATTGGTTAGCGAATGATGCTTACACACCGAGACAACTATAAGATCAGCTCATATAAATACAGGGCGGCCTCACTATAAGTTCCTAACATATACAATATGAATAATGCGTCTTTATCCTTAATAATCGTCACTTGGAAGATTATCAGTCAGTAGATATTTCCCCGACACGTAGACATTTAGCGTTTCACAACTCCCCCATTGCCAGTGCTTAAATAAACGCATCCAATGTCAAACGTGAATGAAATATTGTGAGGCAGCACAAAGCCTTTTTCATGTGAACTACTGCAAACCACAGTATTCATAAAATCCACCAGCACGAAGCGAATACTACACTTCAACAGCAATTACCCTTCCATGCAATTACCGTCTGTCTCGCAAACGTAGCTGTGTTAGTATTCCTTTACAAAGAGTTAAGAAAGGTTATAGCACACATCAAAACCTACGTGACCTCTTTCGAACTCATGGGTACCCGTATTCTTTTATAAATCAAAGCAGGTGCCAAATGAGTAGACGATGGGCAACGGAAGGGCAATTGAAAGTCTGAAGGGTCATTTACTAAATAGAGGAGTCTCTGAAGCAGTTTCTCGACTGTTACAACCCGCTGGAGTAGGCATAGCCCATCGACCTCAGGCGACAATACGCCGCCGAGTGATGCACCATTAAGACAGACCGTACCCTACTGAAACCTCCGCGGTTGTGTAGAAAATAGCTTGCAACGATGGAGACTGAAATAGCGTTGGAGAAACAGAGCGTAAGTTGCAGATCCGCCTACAAGAACACAAGGGCCAGAAGATTTGAAAAAAACTCGCAGCTTGCAACACATATGCGAGACATTGGACACATCTTCAATATTTAAGAAGCAAATATCATAGCCGGAGGAACTTCAAAAGCAGACAGACTGACGCTTGAGGCATGGCACTCTGACGCCAACCCCGATAACAGGCATCTGGATCTTCTTGCGTCCTACAAAGTCCTACGCCACTGGGTGAGTGATGACAGGACAAGGCCAAACCAAACTTAGGATTTGCAAACTGTGACAGTCCTGTGAAGGAACCACCGGAAGGGGGACCAGTATTACCAGCATCCTCTACCGTGGGAATCAAACACAATATTAACTGTCGTCAGGCTATGCTAATATCCACACGAAGGGGCATACAGCGAATGAAAACCATCTTTCAGCTCGTGGCCAACATATACAGCCACCACTTTGAATTTGTTGATCGATACATTTGGTTTAAACGTTAACAAAGGACAACCGGCCTAGCTGTCCGAAAAGTCAGCGGACAAACAAACACATTCCGATGAGTATGATATGATCTCTGCTTCTAAACATTAGAACCCTGACTTTTGCATACCAGAACATTGACCAACGCCCATTTATACATATTGGCCCGCCATGGAGTTAAACACTACGCGTAAAGTTAACAATTGGAACGTGTACTAAGCCATATAAAAAGAGTTCAGCTAAATTTTCTCTGGCGGTCAGCAAACTGCAGTTAGGGCATTCTTGCGTACATATTTAATGGTGCATAACCAAACGTTATATTTAAAAAGCTGTTTGCTTTCCCGTGGCGTGCATATTAATTAAACTTCTCTATCAGGGCTACATAGAATAGATCAAAACAGAAGTATGACAGAATATCTCAGCGAAAGAGCTAAATATTTACTAGGAGGAGAGTCCGGCGATGTGGAACCAAGTGAATTCGATGAGCACCTTTCGTCCTGGTGGGGCGATAAACCGGTAAAGGCATCTGACGTCGGGGCCGTAACTGGCGGGCCAACCGGGATGGTGAAAGTGACCCGAATGAGGCGTCTCGATGAGGACCTCGGCCTCGTTTGCACCACAAGTGGTAGCCTCCACGCGATCTGTTGGCGGAACATCAAAAAATTTTTCTTTAGCACTTTGAAATAAAAAAAGTTTTTTTTGGAATTTAAAAACTTCCAATACGACCTAAACGCGGGCTCCAGTGGCCAACTAAAACGGAGGAGACGCAACTGCTGTTAAAGGAAATTTAATTGGCTGGGGGTTTTGCACGACTGCTTTAAATACGTTTAGATCTAAAGCAGTCTTTTGCATGCCTAGG